CATTCCTTGTGGGCAAAATTCCTATCTGATTCATGTCGAAGTCCCCAAGTTAACTAGTGTACTTAAATAATACTTATTGAGTAAATGATTTAATAGTTAATGTAGCTTTCTCACAGTATTCAAGACCGGATTGTGGAGAAGTACCAGAAGAGGGAATACCACGAATTTAACCATTAAGAACTCAAGTACACAGCCAGTTCTACAGGCAGGACTGCCTGTTCAAATCCAAACTCTTCTTTCATCTCCTGTTGGACAACTTCCTAGGTTGAAGAAAATTGGGGAAACAAAATATTCTCTCTAGATGCTGACAGAATTGTACAAAAATTTATTTTCCATGAATTATTTTACATTTCTAATTATTTTTAAAGGACTACTAAAATAGTTTTCAAGTTCCAGACCACAAAAATTAAAATGCGAATAAATTATATAATCAAGGAGGACACTGAAAGGTAGATGGCAAACACTCTTAGAAAATTATCCTCTCTCTGGTCTTGTACCTCATCTTGTCACATAGCAGCTCTTGGTCATATAAATTCCAGTTGAGCATAGCCTTTCCAATTTTTTCATATTTGATCGATTAGAGAACGAAATCCTTACATCTATATATCAGTTCCAAATATAAAATTTTTTTTATAGTCAAAAATGACAACATATTAGCAACATCATCTAAAGATGACCAAATCACTCAGAATTAGATGCACCGACCTCCTTATTTTATGAGTTAGACTTAGGATTTGGATAAGGCTTATCCCTAAATGAGTTTCTACTCTTAATATCCAAAGACAGCCACAGAGTTTATTTCCATGTATGAGAGAGCAATAAAATGTTCAAGCCTATAGCCATGGCAAAAAACTTTCTTATGGTTAGGAAGGGTTTTTACCTAATATAAGAATCAGCCTTTGACCTAAATGAAGCACAGGATGAGATATTTGTAAGGACTGAAAAGACATCAAAATAATATTAATGAGTCTAATGATAATATTTACGTTTATACTTATTTACTTCTGTCTAATTAGAAAAACAACAAAAATAACCCTTCAGTATGTTAAGACCTCTAGGAAAGTGCAGTTTAGTGCTCCACTGACAACACAGAGTCCCTGTATCTCCTTCTATTCAATTTCTGCACCATTCGACAATATTGGCCCAGACCATCTCATCAAAAACATTCACTTCTCCCTTGGTTTCTAGGATAGTAAATTGTTTTGGTTCTCTTTCTATCTTTCTGTCTGCACCTTTTCTCTCTCCCCTCTCTCCACACCCTGCCCTCAGCCATTAAATGTTGGCATAATGTGAGATCTTATAGTTTGTCATGAATCACCTCATTAAATCTCATACTTGAACTAATTCCAAGTCACCGTCTCTATGTATTTCTTTTAGTTCTCTAGGTCAGTGTTTCTAATTGCCTTCTTAATGCTTCAAGCATGACATCTCACAGGAAATTTCAATTCACCATGCAAAAGAGAAATCATAATTTCCCCATTTCACACCTACTCACCTGATCTAGAAATCTTAGTTTTGTTAATGTCTCACTTTCCTTTACCACTCTCGTATAATTATGGCTAAAATTCACTTAAATACTATACAACCGACAGTGTACTTCTCTGCTTTTGCTCATGGCACTCTCTTCTCTTGAAATTCCAGTAAAAATTCAACTTATTTTTAAGAGCTAACTCTAAAATTGACACTTCTATAAGTCTCTCTCAATACCCCTCAATGAAATGAATCATTTCTTATTTTTAATTTTGTGAGTTTTCTTTTACACATCACTCTTATTAGGTAAAATAACTGCATGCACATGTAAATCCCTTCCTATAAATTGTGAGATTGAGGGTGTGGCCTGTCTCTTAATTGTTCGTGTATCTCCCACTGAACCTAATATAATGCCATGAAGTATTAGGCTTTCAATAAGTATTTCAAGAATGAAAGAGATTTGCATGAATATTCTACCTGTTTCAAATCCAACCAGGAAAACCTACCAATATTGAAAAAAGACAAAGAAAAAGAAAAAGAAAAAACAGAAGATAAACCTCAAAGAGAACTTTTATGTTTATTTATTCTAAGGCCGTTAAAATGAGAGTTGCTTTAAAAAATCCTTTAATTTACTATGGGCTCTAAAGTCAGTAGAAAAGGCAACTTTAAGATGGATAAGCTCTTAAATGGTGACGAAGCAACGCAGGCAGAGACTACCCCCATCCTCACGCCCTATCCCAGCCCAAAATACACACACACTCAGAATTTGGCCAATGCAAGAAAGACCCAATATCAATTTCAATTCAGTGTAACATATGTTTAGCATTTACTATATATGAGGCATTTGGGGGCAAAAACACAAATGAGACAGTTTTCAAAGGTGTTCTTCTAAATTCCTTTTGCTTTACCAAAAAATTTTCTCTTTAATTGAGAATGACTCTTGTCTCTAACCAAGAACCAATGATATTATTCACAGGATAATTCCATTTTTACTGATAATGTTATTAGCTACTTGAAGTACAGTTACATTTTCAGAGACAGATTTAAAGATGCTATGTTAACGGAATAGTTAATGATAGGAATCATGTAAATGATCCTATTAACTTTAGAAATATTTCAAGATAATGCAGAGTGCACTTAAAGATAATGCACTTATTTCTCATAAAAGTGTCTGAAATGTCAGACATTTGCACTTGCCCCCATTAAATGAGTTGTCCAAAAGAAAGAATCCACAAATTTTTTTGAATGATTCCTAAAGTATGAGCACAATAATCACTCAATTTTAAATTATGTGCAAAATCAGAAATAAAAACCATCCTCTTAAATTGACTATTTTTTGATTTGTTACCCACTTTTAGGATCTCGTAATATAGTACACTTTTATTGCTTCTGTGAACCACAATGTACATGCTGTACTGTCTACCTCAAACAGGAAAAAACTACTTTTTAACACATGCAATTTAACAATAATAGCCGGGGAAATTTATGTCTGAGTCCTAGAACTGGAATTTCCTGCATTATGTGTATTCCATTTTGGAAATATGGCTGGTTTGGCAGAGTGAAAAATAGATGGCTTTGGCTCTGTTGAGAAATAACACTCTGAACTGGACCACTATGAATCCTGGGGGTTTAACTTTTGTGTTTGGTGAGTTGGACTGAATTCTGGAGGATGAGCATCTTTGGTGGACATCAGTAGATATGCTAGAAAAGAAGTTATAAATTGGGTACCTTTTGGGAAGAAATGGGGAAGAAAAAATGAGAGTATCTAAACCATAAATTTATGTAATTATTTACATTATGGTTATAGTAATAGTTATCCAAGAAGAGAGAGATGTGTCACATGTCATGTCTATCAATAACCAACTAATTCATTTAGTAAATGCTTGTGATGTCATGGGGCTGTGTACTAGAGATGAGGAAACAGAGTCCAGTACGACATGGAACTTTGTTCATGAACCTGATAACGCTAGTGAGTTTAGTCTTACTAAATTCTTTAACCGTCATCAGATCAGATATTGCTTGTAAAGGTGGGTTGCTTTCCAAGTTAGAGGATAATTTAGCTTCTGAACTTGCATAATAAAGTAGTAACCTACCTTCTGCTTATCATATATTTAAAACTAGACTTGACTATATAATTTATCACCTAAACTAGGGTCATTCTGAGAGTGAAAAGAAGTTACTTACAATTATGCCGGGGTAGCAGGCATAAACCAGGAGAGAACCTAGTTTATACATGGTCAGCCTATAAACCCAGAGACTGTCCCTTAATCAATAATGTATGCTACCTAATTCAGGGCTCTTATCATGGAGAGAAACTCTAATGCGGGGGTCCTCAACCCCTGGGCCATGGATTGGTACTGGTCTGTGGCCTGTTAGGAACCGGGCTGCACGGCAGGAGGTGAGCAGCTGGCAAGTGAGCAAAGCTCATCTGTATTTGCAGCCACTCTCCAACGCTAGCATCACTGTCTCAGCTCCACCTCAGATCATCAGGCATTAGATTCTCATAGGAGCATTGGTCCGTGGTGTCAAAAAGTTTAGGGACTGTGGCTCTAATCTATCCATTTTCTGAAATGAATGGCTAACAGATGTGGTATTATATGGAAGAGTATGGAAGACATGTTATTCATGCACTTTTCCAGGTATTGCCAGCTCATCATTTCCTGATGATCAGGAAGGATCAGAAGTTTCCATATATGAGGCATATTAGCTTAATCTCCTACACAGCTGTCATCTTTAAATTATGCTTTATTGTTCTGAGTCAGTATTAAATGTCAGTACAAGAAAGAACTGTGCAGCCATGTGACTTCGCATCTATGATTATGATAAAAAATGTTGAAAATTTTCCCATTGTGTCATATAATGATATGTAAAAGGGTCCATACGCTCTCTCCTAGAATGTTTGCTCTCTTTTTAAGAACAAATGAGCTCCTTTCTATCTGATAAAGATTTATATAGGCTTCTAATTTGTCCATTCGTGTCTGGCTCCCAGTGGTCAGTCACAAGAATCCATCCTTGAGGTGAAACATTTACATTCTACTAATTTTCATGTTTGGTTTTATCTCTTTTTCGATGTGGCATTGTTTTTCTTCTAAATTGGTTAATTATCCAACATTTTATCTTTTAACATTTAATATTTTCTAATTACTAAATAAAGTTTTGGTAATTGGAAAATATTAAATTTTTGGCCTGGTGTTCATGGTCTGTATATCTGACCTCAAGCTCCTGGTTATTTGATTCCCTAATATTATCCCTCATGCACTCTCTTTATGTGAACTATTTGCTCTTTCTAGTACATGTATCATACCTTTTTGCCTTTGCGCCTATGGTCATGCTGTCCTCACTGTTTGGGGATTGGAAGAGAGTTTGTTAATATCTGTAGTGGGGAGTAGAATTGGGAGTTTATTGGGAGAAGAATAAAAAGATTGTCCATCAGAATATTTGTAACCCACTGGAAGAGAAATATTTGGAACCCATTGTACATGTTCTGGCCTGGTGCCATTATGCTTTCTTTTCTTTTTTGTTACATAAATTAACCTATTTATTGTAGGCTAGCAGTATTTCAAATTGTGGAGCTTCTACTGGTCTTTCAATTCCTTCAGTCTTCTGATGGCAGACATTACTATGACAGCAGAAATGGTGTTGTAGGTCCAGGCACCACCAGCTACTGTTTTCATGCAGGAAACACAATGCCAGATCCCAACAGCTCTTCTCTTCATCTTGGTTTTGACACAGAAGGAGCAAGTGTACTTGGCGTGCTGGCTGATTTTAATTTTCTTCTCCATTTTCCTGAGAAAGGCACCATAATGGGTCCTGTATTTACTGGTGATTCTGACCTTGGTGCACTGAGCCATGTCACCGCAAACTAGGTTAGAACCTAGAGAGCCCTAATCTTTCTGATTTCTCTTTCCATCATTTAGACATTCTTTCTCAGCCTTTGTAGCCTATTTTTCTACCTACCTGTTAAATTTGTTAGTCCATCACATTCTATATTTGGGTCTTCTTGGTTTCTTTGTCCTTTCTAAGCTGGGTCTTTTTCTCTGATGACTTTAATTACCATCTTAATGACTAATTTCTCCTAAATATTTTCATTTTACACTTCCCTCCTTTGTTCCAGAATTATGCACCTAACAGTGAAATAATTCCATTATCTGTGGAAATAAATAGTTCCACAGGTGTTTTGAATGCTAATGAACATCTGCCTCACTACGGCCCAGCCTTTGACTCATTCTTTCGATCTGTGTATACGGCATCAGCCTCTACCCAGTTGCTTGTGCAGCATCTCTATGTATAGCTAGCTGCACAACAAAGTAATGACTGTATTTTGTTTCCTGTAAGGATTTGTTTCCCATTCTTTATTTTTGTTGCTTTTTCTTAGTATAGTTCATCTCTTAATTTGGGTGTTTTGCTGCTTAATACATTGTCCATTATTCATAGGCAGTGGCCCAGAGACCTTCCAGTGGATTCTGGTTTGGTATAACTCAAAAGACCCATGCACAGGGGCTTGAAATTGTGGTTAGACCTATTTACTTTTCAACACATGAGGAAGTTGGGAACATAAGTCTGGATTGTCATTGAGAGGCAATTTTTAAGTTAATTAATCAAGCGAGGGGATCCAATGGTCAGGAAGTGGTAGCAGCAGGGTCGGTTTTGCACTTTAGGCCTGCAAGCAGGGTTTCCGGTCATCCTAGTAATTTGACTGTTGTGTGGTCTCAGAGAGTTGTTTGCCATCTCAGCATACCTGGTTGCAAAGCTGTAGAATGCAGAGCTCCTTATCTGTTTTTGTGTTGTACTGTCACTGGTGGTTAGAAAATATTTCACAAAGGTATCTGTATAGTGACAATGGTAGTGGCTGGAAATACAGATGTATTAATTATGATTACATCAGTTAGGGTAATGGTAAAATGTTAGGAAAAAGTTGTAAAACTGGGAGTGTGAAAAAAGGTGACAATGTTCTATTCTATTATACTGAGAGATGAATCTTAAAATAATCTTTTACTAGTTGGGAAATTCACTAGAGAAAGAGGTGTGTCCTACTGGGCTTTGAGCCAACAGTGCCTAGCACACTGAGGGTATCACTTAATGCATAAAGACTCTTCTAATCCATCTCCTTGACCTTCGCTATGGTCTGAAAGTTTGTGTCCCCTACATCCCCACCCAAAATTCATATGCTGAAATCCTGACTCCTAAAGTGATATTGCTGGGAGGTGGGGACTTTGGGAGGTGATTAGGTCATGAGGGCAGAGCCTCATGAGTGGGATTGGTGCCTTTATAAAAGAGGCTCCACAGAGATAGCTTGTCCCTTCCACCATGCGAGGACATTGAATCTGCCAGCGCCTTGATCTTGGACTTTCCAGCATCTGGAACTGTGAGAAATAAATTTCTGTTGTTTATAAGCCACCCAGTCTACGGTATCTTGTTATAGCATCCCTAATGAACTAAGCCATCCTTAAACTTTTTTTTTATGGAGGTATGCCTGATAATATTTTTAAATATGATTGATACCTTAAAGATCTCTGTGAGAGAATATTCCATAACCAACTCAGTAACTTATGTTGAAAACTATTTTATTTTTAAAGGATTTTTTTTTTTTTGCATTCTAACCTAGATCTTACCTGCCATTATTTAAAACCTTTGTTTTGTTCTGTTCTTCATGAAACTGGAACATCATCTTATTCTGTATAAATGCTCTGCTTTAAAGTTAACAGTCCTACCTGGCCATAATTGTCCTCAAGCAGTGAGAAGACAAGTCCACCATACAGAAAACAATCACAGAATCATATGAGATGGTTTAAGTGCCTAAATGAATGACATATATGCAATACTTTATAGAGAAGCAATAATGAAAATTATTCACATGGCTACGTGGATCATTCCTTGGGCCAGAGTGTTATTCCTGCATTTGTTGCTGCTGTGCCTTTCAATATATGTATTTTTTCTTATAACTTTTTAATTTGAAAAATTTCAAACTTAAAAGAAACACTTCCTTTACAAAGATCCACATTTGATTTTGCTTTCTCTCTCTTTGTTTCTCAACCTTTTTGTTTTTTATTATCACTCCCTGAGGGAGACATTTTAGACATTTATAAAAAATCATTTACCCCATGAAAATTTAAGAGTACAGATAAACTGTATATATATTTATAACCATTATTATATCTAAGTTTTTTTGCTCTCCAAGAACCAGTGTTTACTCTCTTATTTTTCTGTATCATTTGAGAATAAGTTGGAAACATTGTGTACTTTTCCCCTAAATGTTTCAGCATTTATTTTTTAAGTACGAGGACCACCTTACATAATCAAATTAAAAATATCAAAATCTAGAAATTTAACATGGACACAATATTATAATCTAAAACACACAGTCTGTATTCAAATTTTATCAATTGTCCCATTAATATTGTTTTGTAACTAATTTTTCTCAGCCCAGCCAGGATTCTACTTAGAATTCCACATGGTATTTAGTCATTATGTCTCTTTAGTCAGTCTTATTCTGGAAAATTTCCTCAGTCATTCTTGACTTTGACATTTTTAAAGAGTACAAGCTAGAATTTTGTAGAATGCCCCTCAATTTGGGTTTTCTGATGTTTTGTCTGGATTAGATTCAGATTTTACATTTTTGACCCAAATGCCATTAAAGTGATGTTATGTCTTTCTCTGTACAGCACATCGGGAGACACATGATATCAGTGTGTCCTAGTACTAGTGATGATAACTTTGAGCATGTGTTTAAGGTAGTGCATGCCAGTTTCTCTACCACAAAGTTACCATTTTTTCCTCTTGTACTTAGCAAGTAGTTTGTGGGGAAATATCTTGATACTATGTAGGAATCCTCTTTCTCATAAAACTTTCACCCATTTAGTTTTAGCATCCATTAATAATTTTTTAAACCCCGTCATCTGCTTCTATAGTTTTTACTTGGAATTTTGTTAGAAAGAGTTTTTTCTTCATCTTCATTTATCTATTTTATTTATGTCAATATGGACTCGTGGATTCTAATTTTGTTCAGTCATAATCTATGACTATTTATTTTAGTGTTCAAATTGTGCCAAATTTTGCCCATGGGAGCCCCACCAAACTGGCTCGTGTGTCCTCTGACCCTCGATTTTGAATAATAGCCATCCTTTTCAGTACCTGAGATAGCTCTTCAACTTATCTCCTCCTTTGTTGAATTCCACCGTGGTAAGAGACAAGAAAAATGAGACATTGAATCTATAATCAGTAGATTAGGCTCTGTCATTGGTAGATAAGTGACTTTCAGTGTTTGAGTCTTAGTTTACTCATTTGTAATATGCAGCTAGTAATAGAGTCCTTATTATTTAACTGGGTTGTTATGATCAAATAAAATATTGCATAAGAAATGCTAGAAAAACCATAAAACTTCAATTGTATACAAGATTTATTAGTATTAAATTTTTGCTTTTATGATGATAATGACATGTCTTATTTTACCAGCAAAATCCTTCAGATGAGGCAATAGGCAATGACCTAGAAACAAGAATACTTTTGATAAGTACTGAGGATCTGGATGTTATAATGAAATTTTTTAGAACCGTTCCATTTTCCAGAGGACTTCAAATACACTATTTTCATTCCTTTGATAAAATCCCAAATCACGAGGTGCGGAATTGTCTTTGTAGAATATTATTATTGCCTTAGTAAATCCCTGCCTTTCATTTAAACATTGGCACCTGTTTGATGTACATAGTTCACTAGAAAGGCATTTGCACACACGTTAGCTCAGTCTCATTACCCTGTGATGTCTGGAAAGCCTGAGAGACTGAAGTGCAGATCAGGCTGCTTGGAAAAGTCTCATCCCCTGAGAGCAGAACTTTTTTCATTGGTTCTTTTTTTGTTTGTTTGTTCTCAGCGAGGTCCTTACTCTGCGGTCTCAGAAACCCCCCTGGAAGTTTTGCAGTTCTGGGGAAGAGGCATTTCTTGGAAGTTAAGCTTTTTCTTGAAGAGTCTTGGCCTAACTTATTATCCAATGAATAAAACTGTCTTTTACTTGGGTGCAAACATTTACACAATTACCAGGAAAAAGAGAATTAAATTGACAAGTGGTACATTACATCCAGAAATCTTTGCCTATTTTGGGGATGGTCCTAGGAGGACTGTGAATTTGTTTCAGATCACCTCAGTTGAACTTTGAGTTCTGGCAAAACCTAATAACCCAAAAGCAAATGCCCCTTGATTCTGCCTGGGCTTGTTGGCTGTCAGGCCAACATCTTGCCAGATCTCTAGGTTCTAAGCTCAAGTTGGAGAGGTTTGAGCGGTATTTAGGTCAGGTCCTTCATTTTCATAGTTTTCCTAAGCCCAATTATGACTCCTGCAAATACTTTGGAACTGTATGTTAGAGAAGTATAAAATAGAAAAAACTCAAACAATAATCTCAGGCTCTTCAACTTATCTACACCTCACCAGTGCCATATGCTAGTTTAGCTGGTAGAGAGGCAATGGTAATGAGGCCAGGACAGTATTGGTGTTTCTCAGTCTTAATAATTATATTAAATGAGCATTAACTATCTATATAGGCCTGAGAAGGATACAAGAAATTTCAGACATAGCCCTATTCCTCAAGGAGTTTTTAGTCTAGTCTCTTACTTTCCCACAGCCTCACTTTGAATACACCTTACTTAGATAGTTTTTGTCATTTGACCTTTTGAGTCTATAGAATAAGTCCCCGAGGGTGGGAAGTTCTCTGCTACCATCTTGTGCATGCTTTAAGAAGACATTTCTAATCTTTTCTCCATGTACTCATTGTTATTTGGGATTGAGACTCTATGAGAAACAGTTCATGGCAAATTGGAGAAAAGAAGCCTTGAACTTCCAAGTCCATTTCTCTCTCCACTAGCATAATGTGGCTATGGTAGATTGAAAACAATAGCCACAACATTTTGCAGCTCCTCCCATCATAACTGGAGTTATTTCCCCACCCTTGAAATTTGCGTTGGCCGAATAATTTGCCGTGTTTTGAATGATTTGCAAAAGGGGACTGCAGCAGTGTGATATAAAGAGATTTGTAAAGAACTTGCACATTAGATCTCACTCTCTTACTGCTATTGGAACTGCCGCCATGTGAACAAGCTGGAGCTGGTCTGCTGAACAGGAGAGATATGTGGCATAGTGACCTCATATCATCCAGCCAGCCAAGCTCCAGAAACAGAGACTCCTACCTGCTGACTGGTAGCTGACAGCAAAGGCATGAGTTAGTAGAGCTGAGACTAGCTAAAGAACTACTCAGTTTATCCCAGCCAGAATTGCCATCTGATAAGAATGGTGTGCTAGATAAATGATTGTTGCTTTAAGCTACTATTTTTTTTTAAACTTTTTATT